GCTAATGGGACCATAGTATTTACTCTTTTTTAAACACTGGCACAACACTGCCTTTCTGTTCGTTCTCTGCAGCATCTGGATTGTTTCAAAAAATATTTAAAATCAGTGTTAAACATCTAAAGGGGTCCTTGGCAAGCTCTAAATAAAGCATCTGATTTTAAATATCTAACCTTAGTAACAGCTGCCTACCATCAACCTTAGATACTGTTCAGAATGCTGGGAAATAGTTCAGCAGCAGTTTCACATCATATGAATACAGATCTACCTTTTCCCCCAAATGAAGAAGACAGAGATTTCTTGAATGCTTCCACCCTTTTGTATTATAAATGTTTATCCTAACATTTCCATCTTCTTGCAAAACACCCTTCAGTTTGGACCCTTTTTATTCTTCAAAGTCTAAAAAGATCCTTCTTTTCTTTTTCTTTTAACTCCTCTATCTGTAAATTTCCTCTTCATGTCCACTAGCTTTATTACTCACTTTTCTGTATTTCCCTGCTTTTAATGTATGTTCATTGCCATTGGCATCTCATTTTTTTAACTTTTGCTTTTTGTTTGGGTATTTATAGCTGTTTACATTTCCATGCTTTCTTAGCTCATACAGCCTTTCTTCTGGACTTATGTGAATTTGGTGAAGTAACTATTTCTCAAACAGTTTACGGTTATTCATATTCTTCTGCTTAAATTACGTGGCTCAGATATTTTAGGCTGTGTAAAATACACCTTTCCTAAAGCACCAGATAGATGTATTGGGGTTTCAGGCTGTGTTCTGTTTTCACGTAACACAGCCAATTTACAATTCTGAGCAGTTGTCAGATTTTATTTCAGACATAAATTTCTCTTCTTCTGTTAGATGAGCTCCAGTATAACTTTCACCATGTTGGATACAACCAGCATGAGTTTTTTATTTTTTTTTGAAGTTATGAAGTTGTCATCCATGCTTTTGAAAAATTCCAAGGACATTTTAGTTCTGCCAGCCAGATACTCCCTGCACATGTCAATCAGACTGAAGTCTGTTCCTCTAATACAGATTTTTTCCCCTTACATCTCATATATAGAAAGATGGACTGGCCATCCTGTTCTCTTGTGTGATTTGGTAGCCCAGAGTAGTTGTCAATTGTCACTTCATCTTGTTCTTTATCTGCTATACCTTTGATCATAAGCATTTCAGATCATCTCCTTTAGAGCTGCCAGTGACTCAGAAGCAAGTACTGGTGTAGTTGATGTGGAGTGCTTTTCTTTCTATTCCTTTGAGTGCTTTTCTTTCTATTCCTTTGCTTATCTGGTTCTTCCTAAAAAAAAAAAAAAAGAAAGAAAAAATCTTAACATGCCAGGCATGAAGTTCTTTCTATTTCATAATAAACACTAGGTGAAATTAAAGAGCTATTTGGTAAAAGGACTGGGATTTAAAATCACGGGTTCTGTTGCTATTGATTCACAGAAACATTTTCTTCGTAGCTTGACTTATAGACTCAGGACATTCCCAAACCAGGGCGACCATCCAACAGGTGCTTTGGTCTCATTGAGCAAAGACATGAGTAATAGCAAAGTGCAAGACAATGCAGAACTAGGCTAAAGTGAGAGTAAATTACACACGGTGTTATTTTCCAAGGTGGCTCCCTCTTTGAGTGCCTCAGACCCTAGCATCTGAGCAGCCTGAGGGCATCTGCACTGTCACAGGCACTGTGCATCACATTCCCACTGTAACTTACTAAGATCTCTGAAATGCAAACTCTTGGGCCAGACTTCATTCCCTCCTCTCTCAACCTTAGGTGTTCTCAAGGTACCAGTCAAACATCAGCCATGTGAACTCCACCTCCAATCCCTACTCATGGGCCCAAACTAGAGACTAGTTTTGCTAAGTGTGGCTGTTTTCCTCCCTACGCTTCGATGCACTTGCTTCTATGAAGCAGAAATGGCGATAATAGCGGGTGTGGGGAGATAATACTGTAAGGACTCTGACATCTGAAGGGCCGAGCACTGTAGAAGTATGATTACAGGACGTGCTCCTGCAGCTCCATTTGGTACCTTGTGAAAAATGTATAATGTTGCTTGCTGTGAAGGTCAGGAGTGCTGACGACACTTAGCATCTCGCAGGAACTGACCTACTGTTACCCATTACATTATTTTTTTTTGCTTTCCATTACCTTGGAGATAAGCTATGTCTGTGTCTTACCCAGTGCATCTCTGAAGAAAATCTCTCCCTCCTCTGCCTTTCTAATTGCCTGAACCTTGGAGTTCAATTTGGTAACCCCAGCATTTTGGATGATTCCCCCCAGCTAAGCAGATAGAAAGGGCAGGGCAGCTTTATATCCTGTCACCCTCCCATAATGACCAGGTTGACTGTGTGGGCAAAAGGAGGGGAATACCCTACACCTCTTCAGTCAGAGAAATAATGGATGTATCCCTGAATAAGGGTTGGAGAAGCTACTCTGCAAGGCATCAGACCTTGGGTTAGAACAAATTTGTGACACTTGCTCACTACCTAGATCTGAGAATTGCATCCTTACTACAGTTGTTAAATGAAAGACAGAACAGTAGGTTGATGGGCTACTGTGGTATCCTGCACCTAAGGGCTCATCTCCTCACCAGCAACCACAGGAGAACTAGAGAGCCAGGAAAAATGATGAAATGGTAAGGCAGGGATACAAGGTCAGTCTAGACACAGGAAAGGAAACAGAATAAAATCAACAGATGTAGCAGTCGCTTCTTGAGATGTGTCTGAAGGTTTGCTTTTGAGATATACTCAAAAGAAAGTAAGAGGGAAAACTGAATGTAATCAGTCACAAAATGGAAATGAAGGTTTATAAGAGACTCACAGGAGAATCTGCCAACAATGCTTACAATCACTTTGATTTATAAAAAAATAATTCTGGCATTGGTGTATATTTTATTGCCCTTGAAATATTTTGATTTTTTTTCTTTTTTATTAAAAAAAAACCGTGCAAGAACTCAAACAGTTTGCAGTCTGGATTCTTTCTTCCACCATAAAAATGGCTGGAATTTTTTTCTCTGTAGAAAAACCCAAATCAACATACTGCACCATCTGTCTGCTGCATCTCAAGGACTCTCTCCACTTCAGACAGACCTCCTCTTCCTGCCAAACATATGAGACCTCATCTTCTCCACCAACCTGTCCATGCCTGGGTGGGATGTACCATCCTTTTGTGCTGCTGCTTTGCACCAAAAATGAACCTCAGTTTCATCTGCCAGGTGGCAAGAAAGAAGTTTAAATATACAGAGTTTGCAGTGACTCAATAGGTGCATTTAGTGCTTAGCAGCTTAAATATCTCCACAAGGAGTTTCATCCTGGGTACTTATCTGTCAGTGACCCAAATGGACTAGAGAGGAGGGATTTGGGCATGGATGAGGTCAGGGTGTAGAAGTTATAGTACTTGTGTCAGGAGGTGATCAGAAAGCTGATGCTGTGCACTTTCCTGCTCCTCAGTGAACTGATTCACTTTGAATGGTTCATTTATTTATGTGACCATCTAGGGGGAAAAAGTCTTTAATTGCAGGCTCCATAATGTGTTCTTCACATTAAATTCCAAAGTGCTGATTTCAGTTGATTCTGTTTAGAGGTCCATATAGTTTCGTTGGTGAGCTGTTCTCATTCTTTAACTCTCTTGGGTTTGATGACTTTATATTCTTTATAACAAAATAAATCACCTTGGAAGGCAGCTAAATATTATTAACCCCTTTGTACAGAGGAAAAAGAAGTTATAACGCTAAAAAAAGTAATGTAAATTTGCCCCAGTATGATCTATGTAGGGATAAAGTATAACTAAATACAGGAACGAAGTGAATTCTGTATTTTGGAGTAGAGACCACCTTCTTAAGCGTTAGTGTTCATGGGGGAAGGTCCATATTCTGGCAAAGGTAGATATATTTCCTTCTCTTTCCTGGGCCAAACTTGGGTTCAGCACGCAAGACTTGTTTCTCAGAGGTGATCTGTGATTAGTTGCTTTGAAATTCCTCCCATGAGAACTTAAATATCCAGGAACTGTACAGTGTTGTTTCCTCATCCCTCTTCCCACCCTTCAGCAAGTTGGCTTTTTGGCCCCCAAAGACATTACGTTTCCATGTCTTTCCACTGTTCTTAAAATAACCAGGAGCAACTGTGCAAAAAGGCCATCCAAACACTTGCTGTCTTTCACTGCAGCCGGAGATCATTCTCCAGAGTGCAGAGAGACCTCCATGAGGACTCAGAAGCAAAGATCGGTCTTGGAAGGTCAGCTTTTCCCAACATTAGAAATTAGTTCTTTGGGAAACAAAGTCCTGCCAAGGACTGTTCTGACACAAGGTTGTTTATTAATGAGCAAACTTGCTCACATCTCTTTCGAGGAACCCAAAGGTTGTATATGACATGACTCATCTTCTAGGTTGTGAACTACACTTAACCCTCTTTCAGAGGTGCTAAACTCAAAGGTGACAGAAAAAAAAAACAGTAAGGTGATCTTGCCGTGCAGCTCAAGACTTTAAAAACATAATAACTGTACTTTTTAGATAGTCAGAACTTAGTGAACCATTGAAAGTGACCCAGTTCATTGAGCAGAGCTGAACAGATGGAATTCCAGCCTTGCCATGCTTGGGTGACTCTCTGAACAATACAAAATCTTCCTTCAAAGCAGTGTCCACCAAGCTTCCTGCCTCACACACGTAACATTTGGGGATGTTCTGGTCGTTTCTCAGTCCAGCTCACCACGTTTTGGGGTAGAGTAGGTGACAGACTTAGCATTGGGCTATTGCTTGGGGTTTTTCATTAGGGCATTTAAAACTTCTGCTGTTTTGTTTCAGACTTTCAAAAAAAAAAAAAAAAGGAATCCTATGGTATGGTCTTTGTTTGTTGGAAAATGTCTCCCCAGGCTCTAGCCCCTGAAATGCAATGGCTATTTTTCCTTTTTTCATTTGACTCTCCTACCACCAAATGCAAAAAAAAAAATGTATTTACTGCATTTTTGTGATTTTTTTTGTTCAGCAAGGCTGAAGGACATGGTGGCCCCATGGCTGCTGGACAGAAAGCACCAGCACCACCTGTGAGCTGGCTACTACTGCAGGGAGATGAGAGGTAAGAGATTAAGGGGAAAGTAAGAATAACTATGGTCAGAATGCTGCCATCACTTCCTATGGGACAAGAGCAGAGAAAAATGATGGACAGAAGGCTTTGGGTAAGGTTTGCTAAATCAGAGCTGAGCATGGCAGACCTCCTCTTGGAGCTGTAGTATTGCAAGTTCTCCTAAGGGCAAACTGTCCAGGGCTCTGATGCTCTGGACTGACAGCAAGAAGCAAGCTTGGGTGAGGTGGGCTTCAAGCTAAGTGCGCACAAAAGTATTGTAGGGCTTTAGTCTTCCCAGATGCCTGAATACCTTAGAAAAGTGGCCCTGTTTCAGATTCATTTTGAAGTGCCTGTAGCAAGCTCTCCACTTCTCTTGGTTAGAAAAGTTTTAGGGTCTCAGCGTTTGTTTCTTTTATAGTAAACTGGGGGTTTATTGATTAGATATGGCTTGGGAAGAGAAGGACCTGTACCAGTACATCAAATGGTGTCTGCAAAAAACCAGCATGCCAAAGCCATGCAACCTGGGACATATCCGATCAGATCAGGTAGCTGTGGCACAGGTAGGGAAATACTTACCCACTGTGCAAGGCAAAGGCATCATGATTAAAACCCAAAAAAAGGAGCATGGTCTGGGCAGGTGCAGAGTAGGGCTGGGAGGCTGGTCAGGGGAATGAAGATCCTTTTGTATATGTGAGACCAGAAGGTATTCATTTGTGTAAAAAACCAAAGGCTCTGAAGTGATATTTTGCCTCTGGCTGTGTGCATCCATAAGGCAAGAAAAAAGATAAACATGGGGATGGAGAAGAGTTGTTTAATCTAAAGGACAGTGTAGGCAGAAGTACACATGTCCATAGGCTGGTTAGGAGGGTTTCTAGCCAGCTAGAAGGTGGCTCTGAACCACTGAAGAAAGCTCACCGCCTTCCTGCTAAACTGGGGTAGGTGAGACCAGGTATTGCTCAGTGGGTCTGTCTGGCACGGCTTCATAGGAGGGGGGCTCCCTGACCCAGGAGACCTTCCATTCCAGTCCTTGAATAAAGATGCCCACACCTGTAGCTAGTACTTGGCATTTCTCCTAGGGGAGACATCTGAAACAAAGAGACAAAAACCTTCCCTCTTTTCCAGGTTGGTGTGATGGCCCACTCCAGGGCAATGCAGACCAGGTTTTGTCACCACCTTTGCCATAGCCGTTCAGCAGACGAAGGGCTGTTACTCAAATGCTTTTCACCTGCACTTTGTTGACTGACTTTTCTTTAAAAACAGGTCCCTGATGTGTGTCTATGTGGTAATGGAAGACAGTAGAGGTACCTGTAATCTAATTAACTCCAGTACCAATAACAGTTGCTAATAACCTTAACGAGGTCCTTGGCATGTGGGCAAGTTCCTATCTTCCTGGAAAGGTTTTAATCAACTTGTTCAAGTCTCTCCTTCTCCTGTTCCCCTTTGTGTGTACAGCAGTTAGGTTACAGATAGCTCTGCTGCATGCAAAGGGCTGCAGCCACCTCTGTAACGGCGCTGTTCATCGCACCGCCTTGGTCAGCAGCCCCTCCTCGGACAGGCACCCAGTGCTGAGTCATGAGCACATCTGCTCTTTTGGTGAGTTTGGCAGAGATGCCTGCTGTATTACCTCCTAGCTGAAGAAGCGAAATTAAACGCAATGAACTTACTGATGATCAAAAATAGTAACTCACAGGAGAGGAGTTCTCCTCTAGTAGCTGTCAGCTCAGACTTCAAAACACTGGAGGATGCTGCAGTGGCTGGGTGAGGTTTATATGCATCATCTCACCAAGTACTCCTGTTTGGGGTACTCTGGGATTTATAAACACTAGGTGAGCCACACCATAGCCCTGTGGTACACAAGGATCATACAGGTTTGTTACTGTACACTGCCCTATGGCAAAGCTGAGGGTAACGTGGCCAGACGGGATGCTGGGGTAACCTCACAGCCCCGTGTTCTGTCCTGTCTGAACCGGGACACTTGACAACAGGCTATCCTGGCTACGCTGCTCCACGCAGCCCCTGAGCCTTGCAGCAGGCACCCTGCAGACCGGGGAGCAGCCATTGCCTGCCCCCCGCCCCCCGCAGCGGCACAGCCGGGGTTCAACTCACCGGCTCATAACCCCTTGGATGCGCTTTCCTCAACGGAGAGAGGCACTGTCGACCACCCCCGGCCTGAGCTCCTTCCCCTCTTGGTAGGCTGCAAATTCTCTTCTGGAGACAAATAATCTTCGCTAAGCCTCTGCCCCAGCCACAGTGGCATCCATTTAAGCGATAGAGAGATGCAAAAAGCAATCATCTTGTTTGATCCACCGGGAAGCTGGACAAGGAGTAACTATCCCCAGTATATTAACGCCTGGCATGAGCCTAGTAAGTGTTATAATTAGGCGGCATTAATTAGAGCTGGAAAACAGTCATGTTTTATACCAAGCCTTTGGTTAAAAGATAGGAGCAGAATACTTTTCTTGAAAAAATTCTATGTATATTTTCTTGTTTTACTAGTAGGGATTTTTAATCAGTTGAATGAACTTGTATGTACTAGTTAACTTTGCTGGAGTTTAGTGGTTGTATTTAAAGCAGATTTTATCCTAGAATGATATTAATTTGATAGGATCCCTGATCTGTAAAACCATTGGTTATCTTGGTCTCTCCTGATAAGAAAAAAAAAGTGCCGAGGGTTTCCAGTTGGTGAGCACATTTGGGCAGAATCTTTCACACGTCACAAATTGCAGATGGGAGGCAGTGATCTCGAACATGCAGTCACATTGCGTGACCATCTGACACCTTCCATTTAGAAAAATAATACTTTCCTCACAGCATACGCTCCCTGCTGCAACCAGCACCAAAAATTATGCCTGGGAGAGCTGTTCCTCCTAGACTAAGGTCTTAAATATTTCTTAGGCTGCTTTTAAAAGATTCATGCAGCAGCACCACCTCACTCACATCCTGCTAAACCAGAGAAAATACTGACATTCTTCCCCAGACAGTGTTAATCACAAAATAGCTGAAAAGAACAAAAGGGGGGAAAAGACAGCAGGAAAATTATATACTCACACTAGTGAGGTGAACAATGGAAGGCTCTTGTTGTATGTATAATTCAAACATGCCCATGTAAAACACTGCATGGAGGTATTTCCTACCACTCCCAGTTTCTCAGCTGCATAAAATCCCACAACTGTGGGGAAGTTCAGCTTTCAAGCACCCTGGGTTTGTGCATAATTCCTTTTGACAATGTGGTGTACTGACGCTCGTTCTTTTGAAATAGCAATGACCATTTCAGGGTGTCCTTTGCTATATATTGAGGTGTCAGTAGTGATAAAAAAAAATCTTTAGTGTTTATGGACAAAGCCATGTGAATTTAAAGGCTGACATCTCGCACCAGCCTATTGTGTCCTCTTTGTTACTATGTCCCAGCAAATACCAAGAATAAAAATTAACCAACACTCATTCTTTCTACCCAAATTACGAGACTGACTAGGAACACAATTTTTAACCCGTGATATTAACAACAGCAGGGTGGTGTGACCTGAAACGGGAGGCAGCTCCTGCTGTCCTACCTGACCTTACCAAGTGTAGCTACCTTAAAGACTGGGCCATGTTTTCCCATTCATCTGCTGAGCAGATGCGTCCCAGCAGCCACATCAACCAAAACCTTAATTCCTGCAGAGTGCCTTCCTCCCCACACTGCGCCGTCACCATTTCAGGTCTGCCATCCTGCATCTCTGTTCAGCCTCTGCGTGCCCGAGTGCCACTGATACCAAAATGTGGGTGTCTTCCTAGAGAGTGTGGCACTGGTTGGTTGTTGTACCGGTGACATTTAGCAAACTGATGGTGGGGCAAACATCTCTCCCTGCTTTAGGCAGGGATATGCCCCTCTGGCTGCCATGAGTGTGACGTGAGCCATGGCACAGCCCTGCAAGTGTCTCACACCCAACCCGGAGGGCTAAGTCAGGCCCCAGGGTACGTCTCCTCCCAACACCCTAGCAGGGACTCCCCCAACCTCTGGAAATTTTAATGACAGGTTTGTCTCACTGCAGATTTCTGGCCACCAGGGCTGGCCTGAGCCCACCGAGCATCATTACAAACACCCATCATGCAGAAATAGCAATTAGTGTCTGCCACCATGGGCCATGTTTGAATCCACAGACCAGAGAAGAAAGTCTCCATCTTCTCTCCTGTCTTCTGGCAAAGACTTTCAACACCCCGAGCCCTGAGCCAGCTCTTTGAGAGAGGAACTTCTCCAAGCTCCTGTCTTGTACTTCCCAGCTGAGGCCTCCTTAGACCTCCTTCTTCTCACCTCCTTGCTAAGCAGGTGCAATGCTGCAGCTGTGTGAAGATTTTGTGCCACTTTCACAAGGCACACATGATGTCTGGGCACGGTGTTACCCCCTGCCTCACTCCTAGCTGAGGATGGTGAGCTCCCTCCCTGGCAAGGGGTGTGTGCTGCACCTTTGGTGCTGAGGTTACACGTGGTGTGTGGGTGGTAAGTCTGCACCAGGACCTACAGGCTAGGGAAGTACCGTGCATCGAAGCTGGGAGGACAGGGAAGCACTGGTTCACGGCAGACAGCCAAGATGCAGGTGAGGGAGATGTGCAGCTGCTTAACTACTCCTCTCACCTCTGCTGTGGACATGCACACCCCCGTGGCTGCTGCCAGCACGTCTCTGTGCATGAGACCCCAGGTGGGTCTCACCTCTGTGGTGTCTGGCTACAGAGAGGCCCCTTTCACCAACAGCCATGCTATCTATGCTGCTGCTTCTCAGCCCCACAATTAGGCTCTTCCATCCACTTATGTGTTCACAGGACCGCCTCGTCCAGCCTTCTCATAGAGCAGGGCTTGCGGGTTTAGGGTGTTAGAGGGCTGGTTCACTTTTCTCACCAAGACCAAATTTCTCCCCTTGGAGCCAAAAGCATCAGATCCTGATGTATCTCCCTGCTGGCATTATTTCAGCAGACGATGGACTTCAACATTTTTTTTAATAGTTTATAGGCACCTATTTAGATCACCACAGCCCGTGACTGTTGCCTAGTGAGGATTACAGTCCTTGGGTTTAGTTCCCAAAAGCAAAGATCAAGTGGGGGTCCTAATGCTCATCAGAGAAAAAAAAAGACCAGATGACTTCCCAGAATGAGCCCTCCTTCTCCCTGGTGGTACCACCTGCAGGGGGGAGCTTGGGGGGACTCAGAATGAGAGCCGAATCCTCCCTGTGGCTCAGGGCAGCCTATGTTATTTTGGGGAAGATGGTTGGATACCCGAGACCCAGACTTTTCCCTCTTGAATCTCACTTTTCTGATCTGTTAGCTTAAAAGTTGTGACCTGCCACTTCTATCTCATCCTTGCGCCTGCCAGGAGTCATCGCCGTGTCTGGATCAGTAAGGCTGAGCCAACTGGTGAACTTGTCTCATTATCTCCTTGCCGAAAACTTACAAGCGTTACTTATTCTTGGATACTTGTAGTATTTATGCTTTTCCTACCCAGAAGATTAGCTCAGGCATAGCAGAGCTCAGAACACAAACCCATCTTTTGGCATTAACTTAGCCTGGGCTGGCTGTCATTTTACAGTAGTTGCACAAAAAGAGTAACTAGCAACAGCACTTACAAATCATAGATTATATTGTATTGGTTTAGCTCATATTGTTTGCTTTAAATTTATATTGTGCTTTAAACGCCAGCCATTAAAATTATTAGGGCAAGGTTTGCCCTCAGTTTACAGCCCCTCTCCCCAGCAGCTCGTAAGAGAAGCTGCTACGCAGTTGTCCTCATCTCTCTTTAGCTGAGCAGTACAAGTCAGGGTGTCGAGAGAGTCATAACGCAGCCTGGAGCTGTTTCACTTCCAGGCAAGATTTGGAAATCCAGCTACAGAACCGGGCAAAGTGCATTAGAAAGCTGCATTTCATTTGATCCCCTATTTACCCCACCCTAACCCCCACCCCACCCTAAATCTGTGACATCTCTCTGGGTGTAGTGATGCAAAAGGGAATACGGGGCTAAAAACCCTCACCTTGCCTTTGGCAATAGGTTATTCTGAGTTGCCATCTAAGCCTAAGGAAGACCATTCATATTTCTAGGGTAGTACCTTATTAACGCGTTCTTTTTGACTATTATCCTCTCTCATGTGTTGCTTTGAATTTTCTCACATTTCCTCTAAAACATAGTTCTTAAATAGCTTCAGCCGTGCATACAGAACTTTCTGTGGGTGTTCTTAATCTGTAGCAGAGAAAGCACTGCTACAGTGCTACAGTGCTACAGTGCACAGACATGCCAGTGACACTTCTACAGGGCCTTTAAACAGGTGAATATGACCTTTTTTTGGCTTGTGACAAATCCCAGTGATGAAAGTCAGCAGTGTCTGTGCAGAAGTCTCCCTATCATCGACAGTGCAAAATTAACCCTTTCCAGCACTGCTGTCAGGACAGAACAGAGCTGTTGTGATCTTCTGTGATTATCAGGCTGGTGGAAAAGAAGGAAACAGTCATGGAAGTATTGCCAAACACTGATCTGGAGGGCAGAGATCCTGTGAAGCTGACCACACTGTGGGACAAGCTGAACAAGACATGAGTTGCTTGTCCTGGGCAGAGGTTTCCAGACACACCTGGTGAGGGCAACATCACAATTTGTCCAGAATTCCTCAACAGAAGTTTGAACCAAGATCACAGCTATCTTCCAGGCTCAGCTTTGCTGTTATGTACATGATGCCCAGGTCCCTCGGCTTTCATAGGATAGTTTAGGTGTGAGAAAAAGCTGGACAAAGTTTCAGTGGGAA